TGGTTGGGAGAAGGGCAGTACCCCGGTCACCTCCAGTTTCCCATGAAGATTGTACCGTTTGCTCAGAGATACACCCCACACATCACAGGGTTTTGTCTTGGTATTAAAGGCTTCTGGCCTGTACTGGGCTTCCAGACTTCGGTGCCTGCAACTGAGTGGAACAACAAATGGGTGCCCACCCCATTTATCCTCCAGTTGATCTGTCCCTCTGCCTGGGATTTCTTAAAAGAAGAAAACAGACACCCTGAATCTTAATGAGCTACTGGGAAAGGCTTTATTCTTCAAGTCAGTTTGTACAGGAAGTGAAGCTGTAATGTCCAAGTAATCTGGAGTCGCCAGGGTGGTTTGAGATTGTGCCATTTTTTGTGGCTGTTTGATTGCATGTGTCCAGTCAAGTCAGCAAGTGAGGCAACTGAGCCAGGTGCAGGTCAGCTGCTCTGCCTCTGCATCAGAGGTTTCACCAAGATTACACGGGGGCTATTTATTTAGAAATAAATGGATGGGTCAGGACTTAGGAGAGCCTGCTGTTGCCATGCTTTCCCCAGGCTGTGGGAACAAAGGATTACCTTAGCCCCTAACATTACCTCAGCCTATATAAATACTGGGTTAACTGCTTTTCCCCCCCTCTCTCTCTGGTTGTGCCCCTGGATATCAGCTCCTGATAAATTTGGTCTTGGCTCTAACAATGCACCTGCATTCCTTTCAGGGAACAGATACGCCAGGGTCTGGAAGAGCTGCAGAAAGTCCTTCTGGGAGGTGACACATATATGCATGAAGGATTTGAAAGGGTAACTGGATGCATGCTATAGTGCCTCTAAACCCCGTCTGGGCGCTCCTGAACACAGGGCTTGTATTATAAGGGTAGGCACAATCATTTCTATTCAGAAAAATGTAATGTTGTCAAAACTACTGCTGCTGATTTATTTTTGAAAGATTTGATATTATTATCGTGATAAATTCTTTTGCAATAATACTTATTCTAAACATTTATTCTCTTGGAGACAATGCCTCTAATGTTGAAGCTGTTCACAAATTTCACCTACTTCAGAGGAGGCTTTTCATGAGGGAGATCAAAGTGTGACTCAGAGCATTTAGCACTCGCGGTTTGGAAGATTTCCTGGAAGAATTTCAGGCTGCTGTAAATACCCGGGCTCTCGGGTCTCATGATTCTTGTCCGACGCTCCCATCAGATAGTTCTGCCACAACTTTATGTCACTTGCTGAGACTGTTGACTTGCATCGGAGTTGTGAAGGAAAGAATATTGCCTTTCTAACATTTTACATCTGCTTCTCGTCTTTGTACCAGAGCTCTTCTCTCCTCCCCATTTGAGTAGGTCTGTGGAGCAAAGTCTGTGCCGAAAGTGAAACTTCACCCATGAGTCCCGACACATTGGGCATTTTTACTCTGTAATGTGTGATAACTATACTTAAAGTTAACCTCATTTTGAGGGCAGGTGAGGCAAGATCTGCAGGTAATTGTTGTGTACTCTTACTTTTTATACAGTAATATCCCAAAGTTAAATCTTAAAATGAGTTTACCTTATTGGCACATGCCCTGTGTTCACAGAATCATGACAGGTTTCCTGGGGAAATACTCTGATAAGAGGAGGCTTTGACTGAATTCGTTACACACGAGAAGATGAAAGAAAGCTTGTCATGGTAAGTTCATTGTATTTCAAAATAACTTTTCCATGAAGAAATAAAATAAAATCAGAACCAGAAAATAGATGCATAATAAAAATTATAGCAACACTTTGTGCCTACGTGGCAAAGGACTTGGCCTGGTATATATCCATAGCTGGTAACAATTTAACATAGGAAGATTATCACCTCCATTGATTGAAATGATGGGTCATCTTTACAATGAAGTTGGTTCGAAATCAGAGAAATTACTGAGGCCCTTGTTAACCTTCCTTTCTGAGCTCATTCAGTTAGGATCTGCTTGCCAGACTTCAGGCACGGCCTCTGTATCTTCACAGAGCCTCTTCACAGAAGTAATACCTGATGGTGGACTAAGCGCTAATTCCAGAAAGGGACCATAAACTAGAAATAACAAGAAATCACTAAGGGAGGAACAGTAACAAAGGGCATTTTATGTCAAGGAGTATTTAGAAAGCAGATTTCAGTATTTCTCTGAATTTGAGAATTATACACAGAGCCATGGCTCAAGAGCTGATTTGCCTTGTTTGCTGCAGAAACTTTGCAAAACATTTTGGGTTTTGAATTGGCCAGTAAAAATGCCGGAGTCTCTTTACCTGGGAATATTGTCCGTTGCTGTTCAATAAACCGAGAGAGAGATTTATGTGTAGCCTCAGAGAATTTGGATGCGTTTCTCAGCTGTGACTGTTACAGAAGCCGTGCTGTCAGAAGTGCTTGTTTTCTTTCCCCCAAAGTGCTTCTTATTTACCAGCAGCTCTGTCAGTCCCTCTGTTTGCTAATTGTGCCCTTTACTGTAGCTCAGTTTGGGTTTGCACACTGAAGTTTCCTTTTGGTTGCCAGAATGGCTTGATGGAGACTCAGTGTCCCCATTAACTCATGTCTCTGTTTGAGGGAAGGTCTCCGCTGTCCCCAGGTGCTGAGGACCATTGGGTCAGGTGTTAGTGGAAAAGCCAGGGAATTGGACTGTAGCTGAGCAGGCGAGGCCCAATTCTCATTTACACCCATCTCATTTACACTCTGTCATTCCGCTACTCCCTGATGCCTTGCTGGGACTGTGTGAGTGCAGCCCGTCTGCCAGCGCTGGCAGCGGAGAGCTCTGGGATTCATCTGTTTTGCACCCACTTTGCAGTTTGCATGAGGTGTAAAACATGGAGAATGAAAGTAATGAATTACTAAGGGAAAAAATTGACAGCTCTTCTAATGGGACCCATTTGTGGATGCCAGGTGGAGACAGGTATGTCCGTGGCCTCCAAGATCCAAATGCACATCAAAGTCTTATTTTGTGTGTCACAAAACCCTCTCGTAGTCTCTGGAAATTTAACTAATCGACTAGTTCTCAAGAAAGGTACTGAGAGGCTGTGTAACACTAATCCCTCTGGTGTCATTAGCAAGGAGTTGGCAATCAGTTTGGTCCATGTCTTCCAACAGCCATAGCCAATTTGGCCATTACAGTAATGCGTCACCCTTGGAAGCCTTAATCTCCAAATCTTCCATCAACTTCTGATTACCGGAGCGGTTTGTATGGCAAACACACACAGCTGGAGCACTTGACATTGAGAATAGCTTACACAACTAATTACACTAGTGGAAGCCAGGAAAAAGGGCAGGGAGGGGTGCTTTTACTGTGTAAGACTCTGTTCTGTGTCCAGGACAAGCCTCTCTTGGTCTCATTGTTAAAGCTCTGCTCAAGGCAGTCTGTTTCCATCCTAGGTTCTTGTACCACTGTGCAACAAACTGTCAAGGCTAAGAGCCTTAATGCAGTCTCCCACTATTCTGCTGTCTGAAAATCACATTCACCTTCCTCCTTGAGAAACGTCCCATGTCCATTGATGAGTATTCTCATCACCTCTAGATCAACTGCTCTAATTGCAAATAAAACAACTGCAGAGAGACATTGCTATGCTTCTGTCTCCCACTCAGTCTATGCACAAGGTAGAAGGGCAAACGCTTCAGGGTGCATCAATTCAAAATTAAAGAGGCTGCCACCCTGAACATATTTGGTTTACAAATTTCATTTCTGTTCTGAATTTAAATTTGGTTGTTTGGACTTCTCCTGCAAAGTTTTGGAAGTCACCAGACTCTGGGATTCAGGTTTGGACACCAAGTTAAGAGCCATCATCTGTCAGGTCACCTGACTTTTTGTGTGTGTTCACACGCAGTTTCAATAGGCACAGGGGGGAATGGAGCCGTAATGTGAAAGCTTGTCTTTCATCCTAAGGTGGATGCTTCAGACACATGAAAACCAGGGCGAGATAAAGCCTGAATGTAAGGCTTGACACAACACTGATGGCTTCCCAGCCTCCCCTCTAAGGCCAGAAGGCAGCTCCCCTTTAAGCAGATCTCCAAGAGCAATCATTTCCCAAGACCTGGTCACTGCAGCCACTGCTTTATTGAGCCAAATCCACAAAGCCAAACCCTCATTTCCTTTCCTCTTTCTCAAAAATCAGAACGGCAAGAACAACTTGCAGGGGCACCATGGTGAGCGCTCACACCGCTCTCTCACTGACACCGGGGTCAGCACCCACTCAAAGGAGGGCTTGGAGGACTGGAAATCTGTCTGGGACGTCACTACTCTAAGTGGCTGCCACAAAGGCTCAAAAAAAAGGGAAAATGACCAAAAGCCTTTTGAAAAACACCTAAGCTTCAACGAAATTTAACAACATTCTACAGGAGATGCTGAAGAATGGTCCCATTTCACTACTGTATGGTTTCTGCTGCACTGATGCTCTGGGCAGTGGATTCCTTCCCCTGACCCAAGCACTACAGCGTATCATACACGTGGCGTTACTGGAGAAGGCAGTTTACCTTTTCCCAAAGTCCCTCGTCAGACTCCATGACACGTTCACCTGGACAGCATACTTGAAAAAAACAATATTTTCCTTCCCTATCGTTATTTGGACTGGAGAAAGCCTTTTTTTCTAACCAGGGCTTCTCTCTGGCAATCTGCTTATCTTCCACTGCATATTGCTTGCAACAAAAAGCTTTTTTTTATTTCAACAGGGCTACGTAGCAACCAAGGTATTTTCAAAACACACCTGCATCATTGCTAGCATGGACAAGAGGTTTTGGTCTGATAAACCCTTTCCTGCACCACGTCAAGCACACCAGGTAGGACGGTGAAGGACACTGCTGAGAGAGCAAATCATTTGCCTGGGAGAAGCACTCGCTCCTGGCCCACAGAGAGGAGAAAGGGCTCCAAGAACCGATGACAAGTTTCTCAGCAGGGCTTTGGTTTCTCTGAATGTTGTTTTCTGGGTTTCTCTCTTTGATGTTTAGGGACTGAGTTCTCACCAACTTCCACCCAGAATGCACCACTTCATTATCTCAAGGAACAGACTCCAAAGCTTGCGCCCGTACGGAAAACGCATTCAAGCTCTGTGCCGAGGAATTCCTTCTTACTTTGCTTACCCTACTGCTGGTGAGAGCACTACTAACAGTGTCTGGGATATCAAAAGAAAGACTAACAACACTATCAATAAGGATGAAAAAGATTCAAGTGAATATGAGCAAATTTATTATTGGAATCTTCTGCTTTTCTATGACTTTTATAAATCAGCAAACATGTACACAAGGGAAGAAGCAGGTCTGTCGCTCCTCTGCAGACCACTTGGAGATCAAGCTTTCAGGAACATTTTGGGCTCTCACTGTTGACAAAAGCCTGAATTTTTGAGACAACTCCATGCATACACAGTACCCAGGTCCCACCACAGCACAACACTGAAGTTCACTACCCGATTTGCAGCTCAGACTTGTTTAAAAAGTTTGCACTAGCAGTTGCTTCTAGTCTACATTTAGAAAGATGCAGCTCAATTTTCAAATGGCATTTCCTGGTCTGTTTCCAACATTATGTTGGGAGAATTTCAGCCAAACCGTTCTCTTATTTTCTCAGTCCAAATCTAATCAGTTTTTCCTTTCCTTTCAGGATCAAACTTCTTAAGGCAAGATGTTGCCTGTTTGAAAGTTAAGATTAAGGAACTGCCTGTCTATTACTGTGATTAATTATTCCGGATGAAGTACCGAGGAAGAAAATTCCCAGACCTGTGGACCCACAAGCAAGGGTTTTTCTCCTCCACAATCTTCTCTTGATGACATTTTCAGTCACTTCTTCTGCTCTGTCTGGAGATGATTATCTTTCAGTAAAATTTCCCATCAACCTCTGTTGGTCTGCGCCCTGGTTGGTTTTACTGATCCTTTAAAAAAGTAGAAGCTATTCCAAAGACAAGGTGCTAAAGTGGTGTTCTTGCAAAGTCCCAGGTTTGGCATTCAAACCCCAGCCTGTACAATTTCCCAGTCATGTTTCACATGCTGCCTTAAGCAGTTATTCATCACCACTTATACAAATGGTGCTATCCCTACTGCATAATCATATTTAAGAGAATATGGTCTGAAGTCCAAATTTATCGTAGGATCCATATCTGGGTTATTTTCATTTCAACTTCTTATTAACATGCTAAGCGTTACAATGTTTTCTGTCAAAAATAAGCATTGCAATTCAACATGGCCAAGTACAAAGAGACACATGCCCTATTGCTCTCATCAAGCCAGAAATCAAGCTGCAACTAACACAATAAGTGCAATAAGTCAATAAGTTGACTACTGATGGCACTAAACTATGTTTGAAAAATGTTTAACACAGGAAGCAAACAGCATACCCTCACCAATCAAAAGCGCAGTTGACCAGATCAAAGAATCAAACCAGAGATAGGACAAACCTAAGGCAAAATGGCTGGGACTAGTTCCTTTATCTCAAGACATTCACATCAGTTACTCCATCTGTTGGGAAAGTACCAGACCTTGACCTTCCCTCCTGGCTCAGAGGCCCTGTTGTTGGAGTTTGAAAGGAGTTGCTCCAAAGGACACTTTTACCCCTTCAGGATCAGTCAAAGGTCACTCTAAAGAAAGGACGCAGCAGCCTGTTCGGTTCAGGAAAATGGTTCCGGGGTCTTGAGTAGCTTCCTGACATTGAAACCAAAGCAAAACCGCACCCGAAACCAGGTGAGCCCCTCAAAGAAAAGCAGCCATATGCTGACCGTATTCCAAGTTCCTGCCCAACTTGCCTGGCACTTTCTGGAGAGAATCTCTGCTCCTTTTCAACGTTACACCGCATTTTCCCTGTGACCAAAGAGGCACAGCCCTCTTCACTTACCTGATTGCATGGCGCGGGGAAATGTCTTTCTGGGGGCCTTGGAGCCCTTGAAGACCACGGGCCAGACTCTGTAACAGCTGATGGTTTAAGGTCCCCCGGGGCAGCAGGGATCTGAGCTGAGCAGGGCCTATGGCACAGCACAACATCACACAGCCCCGGCTGTCACTGCCCTGCGTGCAAAGACGGCAGCAGCCTGGCAGGGAAACAGGGGTTCCCTCTCCTGGGCTCCATCCAGGCAGTCCACACTCCCCTTGGAAGGGAATACCAGGGCACGAATGCTCCCAGCAAGGGATGACATCTGGGCCAATACCATCTCGTTTCAGACCAGAATTTCAACAGGAGGGTACAAAACATTTGCAGCAAGGTCCAGCCTCTTGCAAAATTACTCACTCTGTACTACATTATCACACCTTCTGATCTTAATACATCTCCAAGCATCTTTTATTCCATGAAAAGCTTAAATTAACCATGTGTGCTACTGTAACGCTTTACACTAGACAGGGAGCGAAGCAAAGTGAAGCAAAGTGAAAATGTAGCAAAGTATCTGCTTCTTCCAGACCCTAGGATTTTAATTGCAGTATCACATTCTGCCAGGTTTCTTGCTCTAATTGGGATGCCACTCCATTTCACAGTGTTCATTATTCAACTTTAAACTAATTCTGGTTTAGACTAATGGGGAAGAGAAAGAGACTCAAGAAGAGATTACTGAGCAGAGACACGACAGAAAGATTCCAGTGAACCTGAAGAGACACCAATGCTCTGCCTCTCAAAATGTCCATGTAAGTACCGAGAGATACAGATATTCTTAACCGTGCAGAAGATTGGAGTTGCTGACCTTGCAAGAAGAGATCCCTCTCAACAAGGCTGAGGCCTGAGCTTTATGATTAAATACAATTTCCATAGTCCACAATGACCGCTTCAGGAACTTGGGCTGTCTGGAAAATGCCAGATCTTCACCTTCTCTAATTTCATTAAAATTGTAACTTAAATTTTGAGGGCCACCCATCAGCATGCTACATCAGCATCACAAAGACAAAGGATTTTATCCTAAGTCCTACTGCTGGTTTTCTCTTACCAAAAAGCAGGCAGAATATGCAGATTCAGTTGTGTATTTACATTAAAAAAGACACCTGAAGGACTGCGTTGACAGAAAAAAGTTCAAAGAGTGACTAGATTATAATTAAAAATCAACAATATAATCTAGTTAATGTATTTGAATACCCCCACCTACTCAGGACAAATTCAGGATGCTGTTAAAACCCAAAATGTGAGGGATTTAAAAAAACCAAACACCTTAAAAAGCTATGTTCTCACTTGAGATACCGACAGCTGGTCCAACGCCAGTCTTCTGGGAAACAAAATACTTCAGCAACTTTAAAATCAAAAAGCTGGAGTGGCCTAAAGGCCCAGGCTCTGCGCCGCCGCCTCAGCAGGGTTTTCCCGCCCTTTTGCTTCCTTCCCCCGCCTCAGAGCCCTCACGCCCGCTCCTCAGCACAAGGGGGCAATTCCTGTCAGGCCACCAAGGAGTTTTCTGCACGTTTCTTTTCAGTTTGGGTTTGTGTGGCGCACAGGCCGACATTTTTCACAGAAATCCATGCAAGTTTGTACAGAGCCAGGAATATAACCAGCGTTTGGCATAACGGTATGTATCAAAAGTGTCCCTTTGGACTTGGAGACTCAACTCAGTGCACCTGAGACCAGATGCAATTTAATACTGCACTTGCAGCACTGCTCAGGAGTGATTTTTATCTATTGAAACACCCTCCTTTTCTTAATAATGTGCTGGATTCCAGTTGAAAAGTAATTTTGCAATCTTTACCCACCACAGACTCGGGGTGCACACAGAAAGAAAAGACCAACTTGACACAAAGACCAAGTACTCAAAAACCTCCCTAACCGAACGGTCACTCCTTTCAGTAAGTATTTGTGTCGCCACAGCAAAGCAGCTGAGGCAAGGAGAGGAAAAAAGGTTCTTGCCACCTAAAAGAACAAAGGGACACCCACAGACCCGCAGGTGTATGTCCCATTTCAGCTTGAACTGACGATTTATTGTAAAACAATTTTCAGTGGCAATGGGGTATTTGCGCCAAATATTTTGGTGGGCCCTATGGTTACATGGTAACATACAGTACATTTGGGAAAGTACACAGGCTCTTATTTATTTTGTATTTTGTCTACCATAAAGCTTTTCTTTTAAACCGCAGGCTACCTCTGGTCTGAAGTTTGAGGTGAATTTTCAAAAGCAATTAGTACTTTTTTTCTGAGGCCGTAGATCACGTAGATGATTTTTATAATGTTTTAAAAGGCTATTTAGATGGACTGCTTTTTAACACTCTTCCATGCTTGAAGATTTTAGATATTTGGCATGGTACTCTTCATCATCTCACAGACTTTGAAGGCTGATGATCCCATAGATTTTTGGGCACGTCTAGTTGAGGAAGAACATATAATCCAGTAATGAGAGAAAAAGTTTAAATAAGCTTTTAAGCTTTCCAAACTTTTTGAAAAAGAACTAAGCACCCTACAAGCCCACAGAATTAGCACCGACATCTTAAAACTGATCTTGGCATTCAGCTTACTAACCTTTTGTAGATACTGCCTTCTCTGGAAGTCTGAGCGCGGAGTCCTTCTAAAACTCCTGCCTATGTGTGTCTTTACCCTGGAGTTCTTCAAGCTGTTTCGTAACTGTGCTTTTTCTCTCTTGAGAGGATGAGATTTTCACAAGTGGCAGGATTTGGTTATTCTGAACAGTCCCGTGGCTTCAGAATTTGCCGTGGGAATGGTTTTCAAAAGAAAGAGAGTAGGTGCAGCAACTCCCCCCTTCTCCCAGCTACGTTTTCTCTGAGGCAGTTTATCTCCGTGGGTTGCTAAGAAACAGTCAGAAACCTTCAATGGCTTTAATTATTTTTGGATAGTAATAGCTATAAATAGTTCTGAGAGATTTCAATACAAAATGGCATTTTTCATTTTGGAACATTGCTTTGCAGGTGCTATTGTTCAGGCCTCCATTTTTGTTTAGCATTGCAATTAGCTTTAGTGTGACTGTTTTGTGCCCAATGTTGCTACTGCCCTCCTTGGTTCCTGTTTGAGATGGCTGAACAAAGAGACTTCCAAGTTACAGTCCTAGCACAGGCACTCGCATGGCATTGAAGGGGTTGAGGCACTGATCTTGCTGAATGATGTTCTTTGATGTTTAGGGCCTGAAAGGTCAAGGACAACTTACAAAGGAGATCACATACGTCGTCCAGAGCCCCGTCCGTGACCTCACCTCTTACGGAACAGACATCGTCGCTATGTGCAGAGGACTCACCACCTACCTGACTTACGAAGTTTACGGTGAGTGCGAGCAAATGAATTGTGTCTGTAGCCAACCAGGCATTTCTTCCCCTTGGGGAATAACACACAAATGCTGCTCTTCCAACTGGAGACGGGCACAAATCAAGAACCTGGGGAGCTGCGGAAAGGGTGCAGTGTCTCTGCAGATTAGCATTGGAACAGGCTAGAGTCACAACCTCCATAAATGATCTCCTCCAAACCCTTCCCACTCCTGTCAGTAAAGTTTAAGGAGGCTTAAGCTTTGCCCAGAATGTTGCAGATCGACCTCCCCTCTAGTGCCAAGGTAAAGAAAAAAGGTGGTCCTAAGAACCCCTGTCCTTCCGTTCAGAGATTGCCCATAAGTTTAAGGGGGAATCCCACCAAACACTGAGGTTTGACAATACTAAGGCCTCGATTGGTTGGACTCAATGCTCTCAAAGGTCCCTTCCAACCATGAAGATTCTGTGATTCTGTAAGGCAAGTGGTTTCATTCCCGGTGGGTTTGTCAGAGGTTTGTCTATTACAGTGATTATTAAAACCATTGCTCGCTCAGAGCAATAAAATGCAGTCTTGTAGAAGGCCAGCCATGGCTATGGAGACCAGTAGAAATCAGCTGCCTTGCTGTGGGTGCCATGTTCATATCCTGATCATGTGCAATGGAATTGCCTGTATGGAGGGGACCAAAAGAACTTCTGTT